GGTTGGACAAGATGATCTTTAAGGTCCCTTCCAACCTAGAAGATTCTGTGATTCTATGATTCCCACGTTACTTACTTTCGAAGGGGATTAACGATCTCATCCCGCAGGATGCTCTGGACGTTCCTGTCACACAGTGGGAAGGGCTTGAAGAGCATGGAGTCCAGCACGGACGTACAGGAGAAGAGGCTGTGAAAAGAGAAGGATGGGTGTAAGTCCGATGGGTTTGCAGCAACAGTTAGAACCCAACCCTTTGTGCCTGGTGACAGTCAGTGGCTTTTATTTTCAAGAGTCCATGCGTGCAATTACAGCAAGGTGAGGGACAGCGTGTCTCTGCAGTGAGATAAATCACACCTGGTTTAACGAGCACGGAATAAGCAAGGAAACAGCTCAGAGAGAATAAAATCTCGTACTTTGCAGCCCAAACTGCTCATGGGGGGGCACCACTGAGTCTTTTTCCTCTCCAAACTGAGCTGCAGAGTGAAGCTGGGACCTCCTGGGGCGGTTTCTTTGAAACGTTTCCAGCCATTACCTCCGGTGACAGAGTCAGCACCGTCCGAGTCCGGAGAACTACGATCTCTCACCGCCCTGCACGACAGACACACGGGTACCTCAGGTCCTCACGAGGGGTATTGCAGGGCCTGAGAACCCACCAGATTTGGAAGGAGATGAAAAAGCAGCAAACATCGAGGCTGCATCTCCACAGAGCTATAGGTCCACTCTATATTGGCTAAATTCCCAGCCACCTTGGAAGCCTGGGGAAATGCTGAAGTTTAGGGCTTTGCCCAATTAAAAAAAAACACCATTTCATGAAATGGCACCACCCAAGCAGGTCCTTACCTGAAGAGAGCTGTGTCCATGTAGCAGGAATTACAGTGGCCTTGGATTCCCTTCATCCTCCCTCGCAGGACACGCACCGCTGCCTCGTTCCTGAGGGGAGGAACACTCTCTGGAACCTGTGGAAGAACTTCTTGATCTCCTGCAAAAGAAAGATCAGAAGGAACTCCTTTTAGTTTCCTACCTCGTCTGGGTCAGATCCACCTTCCCCTGATGTCCCAGGGGTCAGCACCACGCTCTTCTGTGATGGTCCTGCTGGGACTCAACCACCCTGGGGTGAAGATTTGTCTCTTTAGTAATTCATCTACTGGAAATAGAGACAAAACCATCTCTTCTTCACCAGAGACATGCCCTAGGAATCCACACCACCTCTGCCATCGTTATGCCAGGTATAATGAAGACAAAAGAGCTACAAACGAGCTGTGCTGTGTTATATGCAAGCTTGGGATGTCCCTGTTAGAAGACCTGATGGTAGCGAGGGGACAAACAGGCAACTGTGCTTTAAAAGCCTCATCCCACTGGCCTGTCATCTCCTGAAGCTTTAAAGGTGGCTTTCTCAGTCTGGTCTTTCCTGGTTTCTTCAGCATCCTCGCCTTGTAATTCAAACCCCTCTCTTTAGCATGTCCTTAAGATGTTCTTCCTTGTCCCTACCCCCAGTTTTTGGCCAGTCCTGCCATGAATCCTCTCTTCTCGTTTAGAGTTTCTAAATGGTTAGTTCACTCAAGATGTTCTTCCTTGTCCCTACCCCCAGTTTTTGGCCAGTCCTGCCATGAATCCTTTCTTCTCGTTTACAGCGATCTCGTTTAGAGTTTCCAAATGGCCAGTTCTCACTGTCTTCTCTGCTCTGGAGGAAATTCTTCCTGTTCATATGAAAATACTGCCCTGCTTTCCCCCACATCTTCCTGTGAACGTCTTACCATCACATCAAGCCCTACATTAAAATTGATTTAATCCTCTCCCTCTTTCCAAGCTCCCTCTGATTTTTCAATCCCCAGGTGTGACACCATTATGACCTGACATCTTGGCCATGGTTACCCACCCCAATTCTTTACATTTAACAACCAGTAGCAGGGCCAGGGCCTAGAGTTAAAACACTTCTTTATATCCAGGTCTCCATTATACAAGACCTTTTCTTCTGCCCTGAAAACCACAGGCCTTGAAAACCTTGGAAGGCGGGCTCATGTCAACCTCATGAAGTTCAACCAGGCCAAGTACAAGGGGTAATGGTTTTAAACTGGAAGAGGGGAGATTTAGATTAGATACTAGAAAGAAATTCTTTGCTGTGAGGGTGGTGAGACACTGGAACAGATTGCCCAGGGAAGCTGTGGATGCCCCATCCCTGGAGGGGTTCAAGGCCAGGCTGGATGGGGCTTTGAGCAACCTGGTCTGGTGGGAGGTGTCCCTGCCCAGGGCAGGGGGGTTGGAACTAGGTGATCTTTAAGGTCCCTTCCAACCCAAACCAATCTATGATTCTATGATTCTGTATTCAATGCCATAATCTACGTTATCCCTGTAATGAATCACTTCCTATCTCCCATATTTGTGGAGCGTTCCCTATAAACACCACCGTGGCAACCACAGCATCCTTAAAACTGACAACTTTTGGAACACCCGAAGAAAATGAAGAATATTAAACTGCTGATGAAGAAACTACACATGAGACTTCACCGTAGCGTGTCTGGTCCCACGTCTCCCCTCTCCCCCAAGAACTCACGATAATCCAGGAGGCTCAGGTCGCTGCTGCGCGAACACTGGAAGCGGACGTCGGGCTGGCAGGACTGCAGCTTCACGAAGAGGCCGCGCTTCGGGGCGCAGTGGAAGTAGTATTTGCCCAGCCATTCCCCAGCAGTGACCCCTTTATCTTCATCCTGGGAAAAGAACATCAAGGAATAACACAAGTGCAAGTTTTCCATGAATGTGGAGCCATCCCCCATACGGCTGCGTAATATCTTAAGAGCTGTGCACAAATTTGGTCCTGTTTTGTTGACTGTTTTCATTTATTCTGGTTATATTTGGAACCTATTGATGCCTCCTGTAGGATTTGTGATTATTCCATCCCACATTCCAATAACTTTGTCCTCGGAGAGCAAACCAACCCTCTAATCGTTCCGTAAGTTGCTCCCCAACCTAAGGGAGGGCACAATTGTGTGCTTGCCCTCACAGTTCACACTCTTGACACGTCACCGACCCCACCCTCGAGCTGAAGGTCTTAAAAGAGAAGACCAACCAAGACCTGCCCATTATGATAGAAAATCTCACAGCAGGAAATGTTTTGCTCCTTACCAGTTCGACTCCTGCCATTTTGTGCTTAATTTGAGGCAGGTAACCCAACCAGCGGATGATTCCTGAAACTTGATTTCCCTTGTCCAAGGTGATCTGGACCATAGAGTTGACCTCCAGGGATGAATTCCCACCTTCACACTCCTCACTGCTCTCGTTGCTCTCTCGTTTCATTTGGTTTGGGCATCCCAAGCCCATGTCAGACTCAAAGGGTGAATATAAACCTGGTGGGCGACAGAAAACATCAAGTGAGGGTGGAAGTCAACACCTAACGATGGACATTTCTGGATGTCATCTAATTGCAGGTCTATTGAGCAACCTGGTCTAGTGGGAGTCATCCCTGCCCATGGCAGGTGGGTTGGAATGAGATGATTTTTAAGGTCCCTTCCAACCAAACCATTCTATCACTAAGGTCCCTTCCAAACCAAACCATTCTATCACCTGTAGGATTCCATGATTTTGAAATTATAGACCACACGGACAAGCACGGACCCGAGCACCAGAGCCACAAGGTGTAATTCCCAGTGATATGGCCAAGCTGGTCTAACAGGCTGAGAGGGCATGATCCTGCTCCTTGTTTCCCTGCTGGCCTTAGGGCTAATCCAGCCCTTCACAGAGCCATTTTGGACTATTGAAATGGCAGCAGGAGCATTATTTCCAAACTATTTCTCTGCTTTCACTGAGATGAATCAAATCAAGGGAAGAGTCAAATGATGGCTCCCCTTGGGCTGGGCCCTGACAGATGCACGGCGTCTTTTGATAGCAACAGAGGAGATTCCATGAATCTCTTGTCTTGTCCAATGACTCACACCATTGCCGCTGGCATCTGTGCCTTTCCCAGTTTGTCTGGCGTCAGGATGAAGCTCCTGCTCCACCTCCTACAGATAAATTAAAGCCTCGTTAACCAGCAGTGCCTTCTCCCCTAGGAAATACTTCTGAATCGCAATCAGACTCTCTTTCCTTCTTCCTGATCAATGGGGAGACTCAGCTTCAGTCACATCACGCAAAGAATTTCACCCAGAGCTTGAGACTTTTTCACAGACCTTCTCTGCCTCCTGATCAACTAAGTTGGGACTAAGTGAAGCTTTTGTTGGACTTTCAGCTCATCAGTACCCTCCAGAGAAGAAAGAAATGCTCAATCCCCAGGAACGTCTGATGACAACCTACTTTGCAAGCTTTCCTTCACAACGGAGTCCATGGGGATTTCTCTGAAAAAGTCAGTTGTTCCTTCTTCTTCCTGAAAGAAGAGAGAAAAAAAAAACACTAATCTATGAGTTAAATGCTTTATCAGACATAGGATATTCCTGGAATATGAACCAATTTTTCCAAACAGGCCTGGAAAATTCACATGTAACCTCATGACCCTTTTAGACATTCCTTCCACTTCTCTTTAACGTCCCACCAGAACATTTTTTTTTAATAAAAAAAAAAAAGATCCCCTAAAACCCAAGAAAAAACAGCAAGAATGATCTTACCGGACAAACTTTAACGAACCATTGGGTTCCTTCCCTGTACACCGCCATCGCTATCCCTTTGGTGAGGACCTCATCCACGTAGAAGCTCACTGCATCTCCCACTTTCACGGGAACCCCCTCCTCCGTGTCCACTTTTGGCTTCTGTTTCCCATAGTCGTCGTCCGGTGGGGGAGTAAACTGGACTCTGCTAAAAGGCAGGAAGATCCCGCAGTTCCTCTTGCACTTGAAATACTCGGTGCCGTTATAAGAGCCATCGCTGCACCCTCTGTTTTCACCCTCACCCTGAAAACACACCAGAAAAAAGCACGTCACATAGAATCATAGAATCATAGAATTGCCCAGGCCGGAAGGGACCTCCAAAGG